GCTCGGCGCATCATGCTAACTGCATTGTATTTCAATTTCTGTTTGAATACATGTATCAAATTGCATTTCACATGACATTTTAGAATAGCCGAGCCTATCTTAGTTGCATTTTGTATGTGTTGCATTAGGCATTCTTGACATAGCTAGGATCATGCATTGATTTCTAACATAGCTTTTGTTTTGGCTCGGAGTACTCGGTAAGTGTTTATGCTTTAGCATCCTTACATGTGTGTGAGTGACTGCCATGATAGCATGCTTGCCATGAGGCTAACTGCTTTTGTGATATAACTTCCTGAATGCCTGTGGGTGAAGGCTTGGTTATTTGAATTGGAACAATTCACCAATTGAGAGTTTTAAGCCCACTTGAGAGTGGCAAAATCATATTTTCTTAAGCCCACTTGAGAGTAGCAAATCCACGTCTTAGCCTACTTGCGAGTAGCACCATCAAACCATCTTTCAAATAAACAAACATGAAATGTTTTGTTCCAACTCAAACGATCCAATCTATACTTGTATGTTGTGTACATCACATAGTAATTCTAGGCTAATAGCCGGAATAAGAGCACATAATGTTTTCAAAACTCGATATCATGGTTAGTAGAGGCCGATCTTTGATCGGGCGAGCGGGGGTGCTCACGAAGTGACCTTCCCCAATCGTACCCAAGTTCCCGAGCCGAGGCAACTTTGGTGATGACGGACACGTGGCCTTAGGCACGAGTCAGGGTTTCCTATATTCCCCCAAAATAAAATATTTAGGTGGCGACTTTGTATCTGGCAAAGCAGTCCATGTTTGGCACTTCTTTCTAAAAATCATTTTTTCAAAACGGTTTGCTGGATTTGGACTCTTTGATGATTCATCGGTCTTGCATTGCACTCCGCGAGATTAGATACAGGACCGTGACATTGAGTCCAAACTGTAGTAAGCCCCAATGAACAAAACGGGATTTTTCCCGGGACGTTTGGGGATGTCTATAGGTGTCTACACTAGTGCGCATTCTTATGCATATTATATCGGTTATGTTGTTGAGCTATGCCATTTTTGAGTTCACTTGCAATTTTGTGGTGCAATAATTCTCAGAAGCACCAAATCAATACCAACATAGAGTAAACATCCCCCCCCCCCCTCCAAATATCATAATTCATTTTAAGTGACATAAATTCAGTTTTCTAAGTTAAAAATCGAAATAGACCACCTCACGTGGCTGGGATTAAGATTCAATTTCAATGTACCCAAAATTTCAAATCGAACCCAAGTCAACAATTTGGTACATTAATGGTAAACAATACAACAACATGAAGAGACTTTTAATCTTATACTAAAAAAACAATCCCAGATATTTATGGATGTACAATCATTGACCATATAGAAGGTTCAATATATTTCTTGGCAACTTGAGCACAAATCACTTAAAAAATTCTACAATAACATCTTAATTTGCATTATTACATCCGCCAAAAAGCAAACTAAACTTCATTAACTAGTGTGAAAATTTAAATTGAATCGCAGATTTGGTTTATCTAAAAACTAATTTGCAGAGAACATGTGATTGTGTGAGCAAGCCCGAGGTTTAATATAAAATTACATACCAAATGAATTATCTCTAGCATACTTTTTTTTTTTTTTATCAGCAAAAACAAAAAACTTTATTGATGAAAAAGCAATATACATGCAAAGTTTACATCAACAAAGCGAGAAAAAGCACAGAGCATCATAGCTAACCTCTACAATCCCAACTAGCTAAGCCCGGGATTTAATATAAAATTACATACCAAATGAATTATCTCTAGCATACTCTTTTTTTTTAACAGTAAAAATAAAAAAACTTTATTGATGAAAAAGCAATATACATGTAAAGTTTGCATCAACAAAACAGGGAAAAGCACAAAGCGTCATAGCTAATCTCTACAATCCTAACAAGCTAACCTCTACAACCATACTTAAACAAGATCTGTAGCATACTTAGAGAGACCTTTGAAAGGGGATTTCCCTCACTATTTAATTTTGTTGCCAACTCAAAGATGCAGGTTTTGCCCGGTCAACCTTAATCTGGAAAACATAAAAGTATAGGAATAAGATTAGCACTGAATCAAAGCACCGACTAAGAAACACGTTAAAAGTACTCAACAATACCTCGGAAATCTCAGTGCTAATTACATGTTGTCTATCCCTACAGGTCCTATTTGTCATGAGAAGCTACCTGTGACATCCATAGAGTAGTTCGAGGACTGTTTTGCATTTTCGCCCCCCAAATGCCCTTTTTCAACTAAGTTTAAGGCGTTTTCGACTTTAACTCCCAACTTGCATGTGCTAATTAGATGTCATTTGTCCCCACAGGTCTTACTTGTTATAAGAAAGCTACTCGTGACATCCATATAGTGGTTCGGGAGCTATTTTGCATTTTCACCCCTGAATGCCCTTTTTCGACTAAGTTTAAGGCATTTTGAACTCTAACTCCCAACCTACATGTGCTAATTACATGTCGTCTATCCCCACAAGTCCTATTTGTCACAAGAAAGCTTCCCGTGACATCCATAGAGTGGTTTACGGGTTTTTTTTACATTTTTATCCCCCGAACGCTCTTTTTCAACTGAGTTTAAAGCGTTTTCGACTCTAATTCCCACCCTACGTGTGCTAATTACATGTCGTCTATCCCCACACGTCTTATTTTTCACGAGGAAGCTATCCGTGACATCCATAGGGTGAAAAAACTAACTATTTGGTTTTCAACAAACTTACTTGGTTTTTCAACTATAAAAGTTTAAAATATACTGAAAAAACTAACTACAATGGAGTTCAAATTTGAAAATTTGTGAAGCTGCCGGTTTCTTTTTCTTTTTTTTTTTTTTGATCTTTCCAAAAGAAAAAAACCTTATGTCATTAAGAATGAAAGTAGAATAAGGACTATACAAGTAGAATATAAAGAGACACATATATGGACATGAAACAGTGCACCTAGATAAGTAAACCTCATTAGTATAAACCAAAGGAAGTAGATTACCAAAACAATACTAGTAAAGACAACAATACAATTAAAGATTATAAGAACAAACAATAAAGTAAACCTAATAGAGAGCTAAAAAAGAACGACAAAACTCACCAAACACAGCCATGATAAGTATAAGAAACAACCAAACTATCATAAAAAGTTAGGCATTATAGTAAATAACTAAGGATTAAGGCTTAGTTGCACCAAGATCCTATTAACTTTATAATTGTTGATGAGAAATTTTGACTCTACAGATATTCCTAACATAACCAATAGGTAACACATCTTCAGTCCTATTTGAAAAGTATATTATTAAGACTATGATGTCCAACCTATTTATTGGAAACAACATATACAGTTGCAAAACAATGCAGACTTGGTCTGGTTTGGTCATGCCGTTGATAGTACAATAATAGGACTTATATAACATGACTGAATTGGGAAGTGCTGGCATTACAAATACAATTGGCCTGGCTATGGAGATTGAAGTTTTGAAGTACATCAATTACCCAATCCAGGTATTAATTTTACTAGCTCTATTGAGATTATGAAAATTTACTCAATGATACCGAAATCTCGTAAGTGAACCAATGATCCAACCTGCTGCAATGCAAACAATCAAGGATAATGGCCCAATTTCCAACTGTAGTTACCTATCAAGCCAATGAGGGGCCATTGCTTTTTGCAATGGTGAGAGTTTACGTTGAAGTGTGAGGACATGGGTTGAGTATGAAGTTTGGTTGTTTTTTGTGTGTCGATAATGATGGGGTCAGGTTTGTGCTCAGTCTCTGTCACCCATCATTCCTTTAACAAACACAGGGCAGTAGGCTTTAGTTAATTGAAAGGTAAATTCTCCACCATCAAGACTGTCAGGTGCCTCTGCGTTCAATTTTCTTTAACCATTTTTTTTTTAAGTAAAACAACAAATGCATTTGTGGTTTGAAATACTTATTATTCTATTACTATCAATTGCAAGTCCTTTCAAAATCTTCAAAAATGATACCAGGTGAGTTCTTGACATAATTGTAAGCATGGTTTTTGTTTAACATAAATGATTAAGGTTGTTTCATCCTTCTTGACTCTCCTTCGGACTTTTGATTATAAGTTTGTACTTCTTCTGGCGCCTTTGTGTGACGTTTTGTTTTGCTAGTGTTACGCAAAATGACTTTAAAACTAATACTTAACACACTTCAAAGGAAAAATAAATAAATAAATGAAAGAATAAGAGAATTTAAAATGTACAATCATGGAGGATTCTTCATCTCGAAGAATTTATCATGACCTCTTTCAATAAACTCAGCAAGCAGGTGATAGTTTCTTCTATAGAGTCATCTAATTAGTAATAGAGAAACAACAGAATTTTTGGTATAGACTGACTTTGGAATTGACATCTACAATGTGAGATCAACTAGACATCCATTGTTAGTTGCTTTGGGAATGTAATAAAGAAATTGTGGTTTTCTCCATTTGCAAATAGATGATAAGATTACTTACACTCCACCCCCCCACCCCCTCTAAAATAAAAAAATAAAATAAAATAAAATAAAACAAAAACAAAAACAAATATCAAAAAGGTGATAAGAAAACATTCACATGCTAATAAGGAAAAAGGAAGGCACACATGTTATATGTCCTGTCCATTCTGTTGTTAGTTAGAAGACCAATTTTTTTATTTTGATGGGTAGGAATTTTTATTGTAAATTTCTTTGTTAATCAAATCAGGAATTTGTAGCTGTGGTGGTTTCTGTGGTTACTGGATGTGATATTTTCTCTTTATGCGGTGATGCTGATGGGTAGCTTAGTTTATGGTATTAGATACACTTTTCTTGAGTATGTCTACACTCTCCTGGTTACTGGTGGTGTTTCTATGTTTGCACTTGCAAAGGTGAGGAATAGACAAGTCATTTTATTGGAAGTATGGGCCTATATTGCAATCAATTTGACTTATGGTTACAAGATGGCTCAACTTTTTTTTTTTTTTTTTTTTGAACATAAGAAATCAATACAACCAAGCTAAGAAGCTGTCAACAAACAGAAAAGGGGGAAAGGAGGGTTCGACACCCAGTTGACTGGGAGCTGATCATGAAGGCAAGCCCGTGCAACCCAGTGTGCAACTTTGTTCGAAGCCTTGGGCCTCCACTGAAAGGAGAACCTGCCCTGGGGTGCCAAAAGCTTGATGTCCCTTAGAATAGCTACACATTCCCAAGGAGGGACTGTTTCCGTAACACAGAGGTGGATCACGGCTTTGTTGTCCCCTTCAACCAGAACATCCAACAGATTGTGCTGGTGGGCAAGAAGACAGGCCAGCCGGCATGCTTGAGCTTCCCCCTGGAAAGGTGAAGAGATACACAGCTTCTTTGTGAGGCCATCCACCAGACGACCGTGTTCATCCCTTAACACTGCCGCAGCCGCTGCACGGGAAGAACCTAGAAGAATTGCCACGTCACAATTAACTTTGAAAAAACCAGGCTGAGGAGGATCCCATTTATCCATAGCAGCAGCTGACTGAGTGGGTTGCCTAGAAAGACCCATGACCCATCGATAGACCCCCACTTCAAATTCAGCCATAGCCACTCTAGCTCGATGAAGAGTCGAGGAGGGCTCAACTGGAATATGATTGAAAACAAAATTGTTACGATCCTTCCAAATATACCAACCAATCCATGCCACCAAACTGAAAAAAGAATTTCGATCCTCATCATTCCCAAGAATGTCCATCATGACACTAGACCACTGCAGGACCGAGTGAATTGCACCCCAATCTACTTTATAATTGATAGCACTGCCGAACCAAACTGGGCGGACCCAATCACAGCCAAAGAGGATATGTTCCACAGTTTCCGAAGCCGTATGACACAGTGGACACATTGAGGAAGAAGCACACTTTCGTCTAAACAAATTCTCCCTTGAAGCAAGAACATTGCGACATACCCGCCACCAAAAGTGGCAAATTTTCGGGGGAACCTTCAACCTCCAAATTTGCTTCCAGAAGGAGCTCGGAACCTGAAACGAAGACAATGGCATGTGGCGGGAAGACCCAGAGCTTGCCATCATGGCAACATGGTAGCCAGACTTCACAGTATACTGACCTTTGGCTTCGAAATGCCAGATAAGAGAATCTTCGGTTGGTGCAAGCGAGATAGGAATAGAGCTGATGGCTTGAACTTCTGGCTCCGACACTTGAGAACGCAATAAGTCCAAATTCCAGCTCTTGTGAAGAGGATCAATAACATCCTCGACTGTAACTACTTCTGTCCCGATGGGCTTAGAAGAATAAACTTTGAAGTCTGGGAGACCCGGAATCCAGCAGTCCTCCCAAAACAAAGCAGGCGAGCTGCTATTTATTTGCCACCTAATTCCTTGCTGTAAGAGTTGACGCCCTTGTAGAAGACTAGCCCAGCCCCATGAAGGCCGTCGGCCTTTAGAAGCGTGCATAAAATCTGTGTGGGGAAAATAGATGCCTTTCAAAATGCGAGCACAAAAGGAGTTTGGATATTTCACCAACCGCCACCCTTGACGGGCAAGAAGCGCCGAATTAAATGCTTGGAAATCACGGAAGCCAAGCCCTCCTTGAAACTTAGGCAAAGCAAGCTGACCCCATGAGATCCAGTGGATACCTTTGTGGTCTGGTTCGCCTCTCCACCAAAAATTACTGATGTAGGAATTGAGTTTAGCACAGAAGTGTTTAGGAAAAGCAAAACATGCCATGGCATGTTTTGCTTTTCCTAAACACTTCTGTGCATAAGAGGGGATAGCTTGAACCACAGCTTTAATTAGGATTTCCCTACCAGCTTTTGATAATAATTTTTGTTTCCATCCTTGAAACTTGGATATGACTTTCTCAATTATGAACTCAAAAGCTGCTGATTTAGATCGTCCCCAGAAAGAGGGCAATCCCAAATACTTCGCATGAGAAGAAGAAATTTTGAAGCCAAAGAGAGCACAGATAGAATCACAAACAGCCGGGGCAACATTCAACGAAAACTGCACACTGGATTTGTTAAAATTTACCCTCTGACCCGAAGCCTCGCAACACACTTTCAAGAGATCCAGAATTTTTTGATATTCCGTGTCCTCAGCTTTCAAGAATAGCAGCATATCATCAGCAAAGAACAAGTGCGTTAAGGTAGGACACAGCCGAGTAATCTTGAAACCAGAAATCTCTCTATTTTGCAAACTATGCGAAATAAGCTTGGATAAAACATCAGCCACTATGATGAAGAGGTATGGGGAGAGAGGATCACCTTGGCGGAGGCCCCGTGATGGAACAAAAGAGGCCCTTTTCTCACCATTGGCAAAAATAGAGAAACTCACCGTGGAAACACATTCCATGACCCAATGGACCCACTGCGAATCAAAACCCATCTTCCTCAAAACCATGGCCAGGAAATCCGATTCGATTCTATCATAAGCCTTATCAAAATCAATCTTGATGGCCATCTGCCCAACTAACCCGGACTTGCGAAGTTTGAGCGAATGAAAAGCTTCATGGGCTACTATGACATTATCCTGGATGAGCCGCCCAGATACAAAAGCTGACTGGTTAGGGGAAATCAAACTCTTCAAAATTCCTTTGAGGCGATTAGGAAGGAGTTTGGTAATTATCTTAAGAATGAAATTACACAAACTGATGGGACGAAATTGCGATAAAAGAGTGCGGTTACTGACCTTAGGAATCAGAACCAAGTTGGTTTGATTAAGTTCTCTGAGAATATAACCACCATTGAAGAAACTGCGGACCGCAGTGCAAACAGACCCCCCCACTTCGTCCCAATAATTCTGATAGAAAAATCCAGGGAAACCATCTGGGCCCGGGGCTTTAAAAGCCCCCAGTTGAAAAGCTGCAGATTTAATCTCCTCATCGCAGAAAGGACGGGTCAAGTCATAGTTCATATCCGAAGAGACAACGGAATCCACTACTGACAAAGCTGCCGAACAATCCCTGCTACCAGAACTAGTGAACAAAGATGAATAAAAGTCCAAGAAATGCTGGTTGATGTCTGACTCTGAGCTTAGCCAAATCCCATCTGTAGTTTGTAGTCAAAGAATTTGGTTCCTTTGACGCCGTTGAATCAAAGATGCATGGAAAAAACTCAAATTTCTGTCCCCATAATTGAGCCAGCGCACACGAGAATGCTAATGGAGGTACATCTCTTCCATAGATAACACAAGTTCAAGGGCAGATTTGAGCTGGTCTTGTAGTTGGAAATTCTCATCAAAACAAGGTTGCGCTTGGAGATTAGCCAATTGTGATTTGATCAAAGCAATCTGGATTTTATTATTGCCAAAATGTTCCTTACTCCACACTTTCAGCCCTTCCCGACATGCTCTAAGCTTCTTTGCCAACCGAAACATTGGAGAACCCACAAATTGGTCAACCCAATTTTTACGAATGATTTCCTCACATTCTGGGCTAGTAGACCACATGGTCTCAAATTTGAACAACCACGGAACTCTTTTAAGAGCCAGAATGCAATTTAGGATTAGGGGGCAATGGTCAGACCCAACCTGAATGTCATGAAAGACCTGGGCATATGGGTACAAGGTTCTCCAATCTGCTGTAGCAACTGCTCGGTCTAGCCGCTCCCAGATGTTAAGGCTTCCACGTTGATTATTGGACCTAGTAAATGGGGGACCATTGAACTCCAGATCCATGAGAGCACAGTCTGAAAGCAACTCAAGGAAAGCATGTATTTGAGTCATTCTACAAACTGCACCCCCTGCCTTCTCTGAATAAGCACCAATTTCATTAAAATCACCAATGCACAACCCAAGGTAGTTACTATCAGACATTAAGCTACGAAACTGAACCCAGAAACATCTCCGAACCGCCCTTTGCGAAGGAGCATGAATAAAGTTGGCAACCCAATTGGAAGGGGCAATTGGCGAGGAAATTACACCGCGGATCAAATTTGAAGATTTAAACCGAATATCTAGATCAATGTCATCTGTCCACCAAACAGCCAAACCTCCCGAAGTGCCCACTGGGTCAACATAGGAAGAATGGGAAAACCGTAACCGTCTTCTGATGCTTTCCAAACTCGTTGACTTATTTTTCATCTCCATAAGAAACACCACTTGAGGACGATTGGTTGTGACCAACCCTCAGAGGATCTGGACTGTCAGGGTTCGCCCCAACCCCTGACAGTTCCAGCTGATGATCAGTATGGAGGTTGTGGCTGATGAGGGCCAGCCACCAAAGCCCATTCGTCGAACTCATGATTTTCAGTAGGAAGTGAACTGGGAACTTGAGAGCAATCCTCGAGATCCAAAGGGAAAAAGGGTGCTAGAGATAAATTAGGAAACTGCTCTGGCAGTGGTTGGAGATCTGCCACCACTTCGACATCAACAAGAGAGGCTTGCTTCAACTTACCCCTACCCCGAGCAGTCTTCACTCCTTTCCGTCTGTGATTAAACTTTGGAGACGAGAGCGGCTATGGCAAGACAGGAGAGACTGTGAGAGTTTGGATTGGAATATTAGTTAGGGCACCTTTGATTAGTTTGGGATTTCTCTCTGGGAGCTCCTCTTCCGTTGAAGCCTTACGCTTGAGGGACAAAGTATTGAACACTGTGGACATACAGTCATCCACGACTAGACGCTTTAAATCTCTCCGAGTTGGGCTTGAGGTTGGGCTAATTTCTTCTATGCTGATTGGGCTAAGGGAGCAGCTGGGAGATTTTGGTTTGGGACTTGAAATAAATCTGCAGTCTAACAGTTCTGTGACAAAGTATTGGGGCCTAGAGGGAACTGATGGCCCCAACAAGTTCTTAACCAAACCCATAGCCATGTGACCCACATGCCCCAAGCCCAATCCACTCTTTTCAAGGCCACCCGTAGAGTTCAAAGAGACCACACTTTCATTACTCAAGCTCAGAGGTGGATTGGCTTGGTGGTATGTATTGTCCCTCCCCTGTTCTCTGACCCCTACAAAGTCCACTACATGGGTAGTACCCTGTGCCATGGATCGTGCGCCACCACTCCGTTCAGGGCTCAGACTGGTACGAAGTGTACCTTGCCCTCGCAGCGCTAGCTCACGCACCGGCACCGGATCTGGTGCAGGCCGTTGGAGCTGTGGAGGATGCAAGGAATTCCGGACCCTTGTTTCCAACTCATCAACTTGCTTCTTATAATGCTCCACCGGCAAACCAGTGCTCCTAGTTATGCCAGTTCTCAATTCTGGTCCATAATTAGACCTCTTGCCGGCTTCCCTTGTGACAAACTTACAAATAGTCTGATCGTGACCAATTCTGCCACAGTCAAAATAGAAATCAGAAAGCTTCTCAATCTTGAACGAGACCCAGTGGTTTTGATTGCCGTTCGGAGATGGTCCACTGCTTGGAAGATAGAATCCCCGAGGTAATGGTTTAGAGATATCCAATTCAACCCTTATCCGAAGAAAATTTTGATAAAGTAGAAGGCCCTCACAGTGAGCCTCCACTCTGATAAGCCGCCCTAATTTTCGCGCAATGGTTTCGCCGTTAGCCTTAGTCATTTTCTCCAAAGGGAGCCCATGCACTTGAATCCAGAATGGACACCAGGTGAACACCATTTCTGACACCGGAGTTCCTCTTTCCAAGGGTTGGAGAAGAAGGAGGTGACCCATAATGGACCAAGGAGCCTCTTGGAGAACCCATCGGCAGTCCTCAGTATCATCAAAGGTAAATAAGAACAAGTTATCATTCCACGGGGCAATCGAAAATGAGGCCCTCACCTTCGAAGCTCCATGTAAAATGGAGGAGACTGCTTGTTTGTTAAGTTGCTTGGAGGCCAGAACCTTGCCTATCAAACATCGGTGGGAAACATCATCTGTTATATCAAGTCCGTCCTCAAGTTGAATGACATCCAAACTTTCAGCCGGCAACTCCAAGGCTGCTTCCATTGGCAACCTCGTCTTCCAAAAGAGCAGAGTTCTAGAAGGGATGGTGCGGAGGTAGAAAGAACGAGAGAAGATAATGACAGCGATTGGTGCTACAAACAGAAAACCGCTCACCAGTGATCAAAAAGGGTAAAGAAACAAAGAAAAGGGACAAAAAACTGGGATGTCCCCAGAGAAATCTACCCTAGGGCAGAGAGCCTCCCATTTTAGAGAGAGAAATTTTAAATATATTACAAGATGGCTCAATTGAAGTTAGCATATTTGTCATTTACAGAATGGATGGAATAGGGAAGACAACCATTGCCAAAGCTTTTTATAACCTAATATTTGACAAATTCAAAAGTTGCAGTTTTCTTTGAAATATCAGAGAAAATTCAGAGCAACCCAATGGTTTGATTTGTTTACAAAAAATAAAAAAAATAAAAAATAAATAAAAATAAAAAACAAACAAACAAACAAACAAAAAAAATAAAAAAAAAACAAAAAACATGAATGTAGAACAAAAATCATAACCCATTTACTCGTTTCTCAAAAATGAAACTCATACAACATCAAAAAACAAAAACAAACAACCTCTATAGCTAGAGTCAAATAGGGAGAGAGAGAGAGAGAGAGAGAGAAACTTGAATCAAAATCTATGGGTCTGAGATGGTGTACCGACGGTGGCGATGAGACGGTGAGTGATGGTGGGCGATGGTCAGTCGATGAGAGGAGACCAATGGGCAATCAACAAGAGTGAGAGCAAGAGACTAGGTGTTGATTGGTTTTTCTTTTGGTGTATGTATCATTCGATACATAGATACATACTGTGCTAATAAAAAAATTAAATTAAACATAAGCCAAAATGAGGCGGTAATATTTAATATTCCCACCAAATGATTTTTGTTTTATTGCCAACAAAATGAATTTGGTCACCGAAAATAACCTTTGCCGACCACATTTTTTGTAGCCAAAGATAAAAGTAAAACAATGCTAATTAATTGGCAACTAAACTATTTTAGTAGCCAAAAATTATTATACCATGACTAAAAATTTTGTTGGTCATCGAAAATAAATATTTACTGACAAAATTTTGGTCGCCAAAGCTTAATAGTAAACATTATGCGAGATTTTTGCAGACTAAATTTATTTTAGTAGACAAAACCAAATATACGGCGACCAAACATTGGGCAGTAGGGTTTACTTAATTGCAAGGTAAATTGTCCACCATCAAGACTGTCAAGTGCCTGCATGTTCAATTTTCTTTTACCTTTTTTATTTTTATTTTAAAGTAAAACAACAAATGCATTTGTGGTTTGAAATACTTATTATTCTATTACTATCAGTTGCAGGTCCTTGCAAAATCTTCAAAAATTATACCGGATGAGTTCTTGACATAATTTTAAGCATGGTTTTTGTTTAACATAAATTATTAAGGTTGTTTCATCCTTCTTGACTTTCCTTCTAACTTTTGATTATAAGTTTGTACTTCCTCTAGCGCCTTTGTGTGAAGTTTTGTTTTGCTAGTGTTACCCAAAATAACTTTAAAAGTAATACTTTTTTTTATCAGCAAAAACAAAACTTTATTGACGAAAAGGCATAATACATGCAAAATTACATCAATAAATCAGGGGAGTACATAAAGCATCATAGCTAATCTTAACAATCCCAACTGGGTTGGCACCGCGAAGAAAGCGCAATCATATGCTAGCACTCAACCAAGGATTGGTGAGGAACCAATCAAGACACCCAAAGAGAACAGAACAACTATACTATCACAATAGCTGACAGCTAAAAACAACCAATCAAGTGCAACAACAACAATCAGCAATAACAGGAGACCTGTTCAAAACAAACAATCATATCTCTGCTACCAAGAACTCCATACAAACCAACAACCAATTCAAAACAAGCAAACAAGCAAACAAACCAACAACCAAAAGCTTCATCAATCAACAGTAGTAGAAGACCAGAGAGTAATGAGACTAGTGCAGACATCAGCAGTGCATCACACAACACCAGCAACAAACACAAAACCTCAGAAACCAAACATCAAACCAATCAGCAAATAACATGAGACCTGGGCAGACCTCTGCTACCACGAACACCATTCATACCAAGATCCAACCATTCAAAAACAAACACTTCTGTTACAGGATCCAGAAATGATTGACACCATTTATGGACTAATGAATCAAAAAACTCATATGGATAGACAGAGTACTAGCAGCAGAGTAATATCAGCAGATTAAAAGATGCCACCAGACTTGATCCAAATCATTCAACCTCCATTTTTGATACAAAACTTCACCTGTGGTAGGTTAAAGACCAAGTCATTAATAGAAAACTCCACTTGAATTGGTGAGGCTTTGAGCTACATAGCTACTCGAACCTTCACTATATCACACAAATCTTCCAAGTTTGGTTGAGAACCATTAAAGACACAATCGTTTCGGTGCTTCCATGTAGACCAGAGAATAGCCAAAGGTAAAACCACCCAAATTTTCTTCTCCAGCTTCTTCATTCTACAACCAGACCACAAATTCAAAAGCCCATTCACTGAACCTGGTAACACCCACTACATACCCCACCATCACACAATGTTGGACCAAAGCAACCAAACAAAAGGACAGTAAAGTAGAATATGTTCCATAGTTTCAACCTCATTATGACAGAAAACACAATCAAGATTTGCATTCCCTGTTAGTATTCCAATTCGATGGAGGAAACTAGAAGTTTTAATCTTACCCAGCCAAGACATCCACCCAAAAAATTACAGTTTGGGAGGAGCAAAGTAGTTCAAAATTGAGGCAACCACGGGTAGTATAGGTCCCAGATGTGATTCACTCCAAATATAGACTGATGAATCAGTAAAAAGAGCATATGGGTCTGCATCCCACTTGAGCTCATCAGATCAGGTATTGCATAGTAATGGTAATACTTAACACACTTCAAAGGAAAAAGCAATAAAAGAATAAAAGAATAAGAGAATTTAAAATGTACAATCACAGAGGATTCTTCATCTTGAAGAATTTATCATGACCTCTTTCAATAAACTCAGCAAGCAGGTGATAGTTTCTTCTAGAGTCATCTGATTGGTAATAGAGAAACAACAGAATTTTTATTTTTGGTATAGACGAACTTTGGAGTCGACATCTGCAATGTGAGATCACTGAGACATTCATTGCTGGTTGGTGTGGGAAT